ATGGGCGCTGGCAGGCACTTAGGAGCCCACGGGCCAGCCCCTCATGTCACACTGGGGAGGGGACACTGGTGGCATGGGTTGCACAGCTAACTAGCTGTACAGTCAGGCCAGTGTTGGAATCCTGGGCCCCACTCCCTTGCACCAGACGCAGAAGGAGCGCCGTGCTGCCTCCTCTGTGCTTCCGTTTGGTGCCAATTGTACAGGATGTGCCCGTTGTGGTGCCTGGGCTCCCTGTGCATTTGGACTTCTTCATCGTTCGTGTGTTACATTTAAAGCAATTATTTCATTTCTTCGCTGATATTCAGAGGTTTGAAATCAAAACATGGGAGGAGAAACCTGATTAATATTCATTTTTGTTTGTTTTGTTAAACCATTTAATTGAGTGGCTCTGGAGTCATCTGTTTTCTTTTTTAAGAAGAAGAAAGGGAAGGAAGAAAGTGAGTCTGGACAGCAAGTAGACTTTCTTTAGAAGTCCGTGGACAGTGTTTTCTTTACTCAGTCTATTGAAGTGCTGTGTCGGCTGGCACGAGGTACTTTTATTTTCTTCTCTCTGGGTATTCTTCCTGAAGAAGGTGGATGAAGTTGTCTGTACATATATTGGGACAGGAAACTGGGCATGGGTCCTGCGTCCTGGGTCCTGAGATGCATGGTGTTCACACTGTTCTGCATTTCTGAACCTCTCTCACCGTATGGCTGAGGTCTGGCTGGAGGCAGGACCATCAGTGACTGGCTCCCCCAGGGCCTTTCTGACACCATCTGTGCATCCATCCTGCAGGACGTTGGTCTGTGCTCATTGCCAGCCGAATGTGGAAGGTCAACAGGGTTCCAGGGCACTCAGTGGAGCCACATGTCAGAGAAGCCCTGGGTCCCTGAGTCACTGCATGGAGAGGCTGCCTGGCTCACGTCAGACTGGGACATGAGGAACAAGCAGGATTTCACTGGGTTCAGACACTGAATGGTCCGTTATGACAGCTCCATGTCATTACCGTAATGGGTACAGTCTTTGATGGGCAATTAGGATCTCCATGGCTAAACCACTTGTAAATGTCAGTTTTGATGAGTCACTTTCTGTCTCTCATCTTAGTGTAACCTCCCGCCCAATGGGGTGTGTTAGGTTCATCCACCAGCATCACTCTTCCCTTCTCGCAGGCACGCTGAGAGATAAATTGGAGCTATCCCTGGAAGAAGAGAGCGTATGAAGACAAGGCACTATTACCGCCACAATTTTAAGCACCATTCTGCCAAGTACAGAGAAAAATTATCACTTACTTTTGACAGAGTGTATCCTTTCTGCAGTTGCTATCAGCAGATAATTCCAAAGCACATGCCCCCAGTGACGGTGCCACCTTCTCTCTGATTATCCCTTTGATCATCATGAGCCCTTCAGTAGTGTCACTCATGGGCACTGTGTCTGTGACAGATACCGGGACCCAGACACGGTGCCAAGGTCTGTTACATCCTTGGAAATTTATTCCTAGAATATAGAAAATTTATTCCTGGAATATCTAGGAAATTTATTCCTAGATATTTTTAAACGTGTATATATATAATTTATTTATTTATTTATTTTATACCATAGTGACTCAAGCAGAAGTATAAAATTTCTGCACAGTCACACAATATACTTCTAATGTAAAAATCCCTGTTATGTTTTATTAATCTTCTTATGATTTTTCTCTAGGTGTCCAATGATACCATTGTCCCATATAATTTTGATGCAGTTGTTAATGGAATTGTTATCTTAGTTTCCCTTTCTGATAGTTTATTATTGATGTACAAAAATGCAACTAATTTCTGGATATTTATTTTGTATTCTGCTACTTAATCCATTTATCAGATATAATAGCTTTTTGGTGAAATCTTTAGGGTTCTCTATAAATAATCATAAATTGGTGCTGTGATTTTTATCCTCATTTTGTTTGTATGGTATATCTCATTTATTGATTTGTAGATATTTTACCAACTTTGCATCCCCAGAGTAAATTTCACTTGATCATGGTGGATGATCTTTTTAGTGTTTCCTGGATCTGGTTTGCTAATATTTTGCTAAAGATTTTAGCATCTATGTTCATCAGGGATACTAGCCTAGAATTTTCTTTCTTTGTAGTGTCTTTGTTTGATTATGGAATTAGGATAGTGCTGGCCTCATAAAATGAGCTTGGGAGTCTTCCTTCTCTTGAATTTCTAAGAATTGTTTGAGAAGGATAGGTGTTAGTTATTCTTTGAATGTTTGGTAAGATTCACCTGAGAAGCTATCTGGCCCAAGACTTTTATTTGTTTGGAGTTTTTTTTTTAACCTTTACCTCAGGATATTTTTTTCATTGCCTTTAGAGAAAGAGGGACAGAGAGTATAGGGACAAGAGAAGGAATGTAGAAAGAGAAGGCAAGAAATATTGATGTGAGAAACATTGATTGGTTGCCTTTCATACATGCCTCCACTGGGGACGGAACCCGCAACCCAGGCATGTTCCCCGACTGGGAATTGGAGCCACAGCCTCTCTGTTTGCAAGAGGATGCCCAATCAACTGAGTCACACTGGCCAGGGCTATTGGGAGTTTTTTAAATTACTGCTTCAATTTCATTAGTTGGTCTGTTCAGATTTTCTGCCTCTTCCTTATTGAGTTTGGAAGATAGTATGTTTCTAGGAATTTATCCACTTCTACCAGATTGTCTGATTTGTTGGCATATAGTTGTTCATAATGTTTTCTTACAATCCTTTGTATTTCTGTAGAGTCAGTTGTTACTTATCTTTTATTTCTGATTTTATTTACTTAGGTCCTCCTTTTTTCTTGATGGGTCTGGTTAAAGGTTTGTCAATCTTGTTTGTCTTTTCAAAGAACCAGCTCTTGGTTTCATCTATCTTTTGTATTGATTTTTTTAGACTCTATTTCCTAAATTTTTGCTCTGATCTTTTTATTTTTTTCCTACTCACTTTGGGCTTTATTTGTTGTTTTTTCTCAGTTCCTTTAAGTGTAGTTAGACTTTTTATTTGATATTTTTCTTGTTTGTTGAGATAGGCCTGTAGTGCTATGAATTACCCTCTTAGGATAGATTTAGGGTTGTTGTGTTCTCATTTTCATTTGTTTCAAGGTATCTGTTGACTTTTTCCTTAATCTCATTGTTAATCCAGCCATCATTTAGTAACATGTTATTTAGCCGCCATGTCTTTGTGCGTCTTTCAGTTTTCTTCTTGTGATTGATTTCTAGTTTCATACCATTATGTTCAGAGAAGATGCTTGGTATGATTTCAGTCTTCTTAAACTTACTGAGACTTGTTTTGTGTTCTAACATGTGGTCTGTCCTAGCAAATGTTCCATGTGCACTTGTAAATAGGTGGCAACCTATTTGCAGCTACAAAGCGATCCACAGTTTGTGGCTGCCTCTGCTGGGCCTGGGTGAACATGGAAAGTCCAAGCAGCACACCAAGGCTGGATTTTACCAGCACGAGGCCCAGGGGCTAGTCAACAAAGGTCCCAAGGCACTGTAAGATCCTGCTCAACCTGCCTCCACCTGCCAGCCACCTGTTAGTCTCCACCACCAAAAAAGCCTCTGGTGGTACTCAGGTTGCATGAAGTAGGTTCTCAGTCACCAGGAAGGGACAAGTAGTGTTCACCAGACTGATACAGGTTCAAACTCAATGTCAGTGCTGGGTTTGAGGCCACTCACCAAATATCCCTGGGTATACCAAGTCTAGCTACCACTTGATGTGTGCTTGCAAATCTTTGTTGTAAGGGAGTCGTTACAGCAAGTCAGGCACAGCTTATCAGGCCCAAACAGACCAAGATTTGGCTGTGTGAGGGTAGAGGTGTGCACAGGTTAGGTGTGTAAGGGAAAAATGGCCCCTGTCCTAGAGCCAGTTGACCTAGTCTGTCCAAGATTCTGCTGGGAGGTCAAGCTCAGCCGGGTGGGCAGCTGGGAGTCTAGAGGGTAGAGCTAGCGTATCTCCTGTGAGGGGGAGGTGCCGGTCCAGCTGGGCTAGGGTGCAGGTAGTGGCCTCTGCCTTAGAGCCACACAGCTCAGTCTGTCCCCTTTCACTTCTCTGCCCTTCCTACCAGTCTCAGTGTGGCTTCTTCTGTAAAAAATCCTTGGCAGACTTTTCTTCAGCTAGTCTTCAGCTGCTCTGAATTTTAACTGTAATTCCAGTTTGGTCCTAGAAGGTGGTAAGTATAATATCTACCTACTCCACTTCCATTTTGTATCTCTCACAATGTCTTTCCTTTTAAGGAGGAATTATATTCCACTTTATAGATGGGCCACGTCGTGTTTACCCATTTATCCATCAGTGGGACACTTGAGTCGCTTCCACGTTTTCACCATTGTGAATAACACTGCTGTGAACATGGGGGTGCACCTGTCTCTCCAAACCCTCCTTCAGTTCCTTGAGTAAACACCCAGAAGGGGGATTGCTGGAGTACATGGTAGTTGTTTGTTTTTTCAAGGAACCTCCACACTGTTTCCCACAGCAGCTGCACCATCAGTGTACAGGGGACCCAGAGCTGGCTTTCTTTGTAAGAGTGGAATTAAAGGGTTGAAACAGGCCACATCCCAGGACCTAAGGTGTCCAGGATCCGTAGTCTGAGATCAGCAGTGTGAGCTCAAGGGCTCCTCAGAGTGTCCGTGGGTTCTCAGAGGCCAGGGAGCTGCTTCCTGCTGTGGGTGATCCAGGGTCCCCTGGGATGTGGCAACCGAGTGAGAGCATGGCAGGGTCACGTAGCTGCGATCCTGTCACCATCACAAAAAGTTTAGTCTTCTCCTGTGTGGCTGATCCTAGCAGATGCCTCCTTCCATTTCCTTCCTAAGAGAACTGCAGTTCTGTTTGGACATCCGACCAAAGGCATGTTTATTGGGCAGCACCCTCCCAGCCTTCGCCCCCAGGGCTGGGTGAGCCAGCTGGCTGGGGCGCAGGAGAGAACAGGTGGGATAACATTTTCTTGGGTTTTCGTAATGTTTTCTTGCTATGACAACCATTAAATCTTTAAAAAATTGTGTGTGTGTGTGTGTGTATCTTCTCCCATACTAGAACTAAGCAGCCACTCTCAAGGAAGCACAGTCCTGCCTTGCACCAGCACCAGATGCCACCAGGACAGTGACAGAGACACCTGGAGGAAGAAGGCAGGACGCTCCTCTCCCAGCAGTGTTACCCTGTCCCAGTGGTGAGTCTGTCTGCACAGCTGACGGCTGCTGGGGCCAGTGAGGCTTCAGACAGGAGACTGACGTGATCTGGTTTATATTCTTCAAAGATCACTCTGAATTACATTTTTATGTTTATCTTTTTAATTTTTATTTATTTTACTTCACTTTTTTATATTTTAAATAGTTTTTCTAAATTTTTCCGTTAGAGTTGACATTCAATATCAGTTTCAGGTATACAGCATAGTAGTTAGATATTTATATACCTTATAAAGTGATCCCCCAAATAACTCTGCTGTGGGGTCTCCTATAAAAGGGTGTTAATCCCATTCAGGAGGGCTTTACCCTCATGACCTAATCATTCTCAAAGGTCCCCACCTTCATCTAGTTCTAATTGAATTTATTTGGGTGACATTGGTTAATAAAAGTATGTATGTTTCAGGTATACACTTCTCAATGCCTCGTCTGTATAGTGTGTGTTCGGCCCTCCAAGTTAAGTCTTTCATCCCCATTTATTCCTCCTAGACCCTCTTCTACCCGCCCCCACCCCACTCCCCCTCTAGAGACCACTCTGTGGTTTGACATTTGCAGTGATATTTGAGATGTGTCTTGAGAGCGGGTAGGATTTAGACCAGCGATTTTCAACCGGTGTGCTGCAGGAATCTTTAAAACATGCAATAGCTGACTGTTTAGTCAGGGGCACTCATCTCTTTTCAAGGCTTTTATCATTTTTTCTTTTCTTTTCATCTCTTTCTTTTGTTCTCATTTCTCTCTTTTCTCTTTTTTACCCCTTTACTTAGACTTCCTAATGAATTGACCATTACATTTCCAAAGCTCTGAAATGGCCAACAGATCTAGAAAGGCATTTCTTTAGGCTCCTGCTTAAAACCATGTTGTCATTTTTTAAATTCGACAATCTAAGGGAAAGGGGTCAGTGCCCCTGAGGGGACAGGCAGGGGAGCAGGAGACCCTCCATGAAGAAGGAGGGGCAGGAAAAAGGGGGCCCTCCATAGAGGAAGCAGGGCAGGGGAAACAGGAGGCCAGGAGAGGAGCAGAACAGGGGGACAGGGGACCCTGGGAGGGGCAGGGCAGTGGGGATGAGACCCTGGGAAGAGGCAGGGACAGGAAATGGGACCTTCCATGGAGAGGGTAGTATCCTCTGTCACCCGTCCTCATCCCCTGGCCTTCCAGCTCCTCCCCACCCATAAAAGGCCCCCTGTCATCTTTGCCCTGCCCCCTCCATGGAAGACCCCTACTACCCTGCCCAGCCTTCTCCACGAAGGGTCCCCATTACCCCTGCCCTGCACCCTCCAAGGGGGGTCCCCTACCCCATCTGTCCTGCCTCCTCCATGGAGGGTCCCCCCCACCCCTGCCCTGTCCCATTCATGGAGGGTCTCCTGTTCCCCTGCCCTGTCCTGTCACTCACAGGCCTCTTACTGGCGTGCGCTCTGGTCTCTGGGCTCCACGTCTCCTGCCTTCAGGCTGCGTCCCCGGTCTCTGTACCCGAAGCACATTTCTCACTCTCTTCATCTGTCTAAATCCCACCTGTGCTCTCGAGGCACATCTCAAATACCATTTCTAATGTCAAATCACAGCGTGATCTTCAAAAAGTGTAAATGAGACTATGTCATTCTCATGCCTAAAAGCCTTAATGGTGTGGTAGCATTTTCAACCCACCCAAGGGCCCTGCATCTGCCCACCTGCCCTGCCCTGCACCCCGGCCAGCCTGCCTCTCCCTGCCCTGGGGGAACTTGCTGTCGCTTTGGGGGTGGCTTCCCCAGATCTCCGTGTGGGCAGCTCTGTCTCAACAGCCAAGTCTGAGGTTGAATATGATGAGGTGTTGGCGAGCCCTTCCGTGGCCCTGCTGGGCAGCCACTGCAGAGGTCCCAGCCCAGCACTGGGGGGTGTACCGCAGCAGCAGGTCACAGAATGAAGACAGGTCACATTGGTGAGACTGGTCATACAGGTATCCTGGCAACCGTCCCGGGTCAGCCAGGTGGGCCAAGTAACCAGTTGAGGCTGGAGGAAGGGACCACGGGCCAAAGTTTTCGGGGCCCCTGGAAGCTGGGGTGGCTTTGGCAGGGTCATGGGAAGGAACTTTCCCGTAAGGAACGGATTCGGCCAGCCCCCCATGAGCAAGGGAGGGGCCTCCCAGAGCCTGTGGGGAGGAGCACAGCCCGATGAGCCCACCTCAGGTGTCTGACCCACAGCACCTGCGGCCCCACACTTCGTGGTGTGGGCCACCATCTGAGGTCATTTGTTCGGGCCACAATAGAAATCCAATATTGTCCCCATCACTCCCTAGTCATGTCACCCAAGTCCGTTTTCTTCATGGCTGTTAGTGTCCTCTGAAACGAAGTGTGGTTCTGGTTCACTGTCTGCCTCTCAGCCCCTCTCAGCACCCGAAAGGCCTCGGCCCGCTTGTTTCTGATTTCATAAAATTTTATTTTTGTAAAAAACATTAACAGATGATGCCTTAAACATCTTTAGGACATCCCCGAAAAATAAATTCACAAATGAAAAAAAAATCTTTTTTTGTGTGTGAATCTCAAATCTTTTTTTTTTTTGGTCAAAACCTTCATCTCAACGTTTGGTCAGAGATGCAGTTGCCGCTTTGAGAGCTGCTCGTGGAGGGGGTGGGACTGACAGCAGACCAGGTTCACCCTGGGATTTGCCTCCCGTCCCCACAGGCCAGCCCTTTGGTCTTCGGTGGCCAGCTGACCCTGGTGTTGCTTCTGGCAGGGCAGGGGGACTCCGATCCCGGGGCTGTGACAGCTCCTTGAGTTTGAGTTTTCCCTCATTTCTTGCTTGGGGACCGGGAACTGCAGCCATTGGAAGTGAGGGCAGCTCGGGGGCTGTGTGCTCTGCATGCTCATGCCCCTGTAGGGGGGCAAGTGGTGCTGGGGTGGGGGGACCCTCGTAAACCCCCTCACTAGCTGGCTTGCTGCCTGGCCACCCCTTCAGTAGCAGCTCCCCTCCAGTTCCGTTTAAGGTTCCCAGGGACGGTGTCAGGGATTGAGCGATGTCAGGCCACGACGGGACAGTCTGTGCCTCTGGCCACAGGGGTTCCTGAGGTGGAACCTGAGTGCAGATGACCTTCCTCAGGCTGCGGTCTCGGTGGTAAGGGCTGAGCAGGGGGGTCAGAGGGCCTCCCAGCAGACAGAACTTAGGGCACTGGAGCTGGACTGAGACTCAGAGTCTTTGGGCGTAAGGGGTGGCTCCAGCAGGAGGGCCATGTGCCCTCGCCCCCTGGGGTGGCCTGGGAGCTGGCCCCTCCAGCTCCTGACCTGCCTCCGGGGCTGTGGAGGCTCAGCTCCGTGGCTGGACGTGTCTGGCTGCCAGATACAGCAAATCAAACAAAATTCTGCATGAGACACGTGTATTCTGAAAGATTATTTGTTGTTTATCTGAAATTCACATTTAATTGGGGGCCCTATTGACAAGGCCAATGAATCCAGAGTCCCAGGAGCCCAGCCAGTAGGGGGCAGCAGCACTGAGTACTTGAGGCTCCTCTGCTGGCTGGGGGCCCTGACCAAGTTGTTGGGTCCCTCAGCCACTCAGTGAATGCTGACAGGCCGACAGGGACAGGAGGGCTGTGGGAACAGGAGTGTGGCTGACCCAGGGAGACCCAGGACCTGCCACATCAGGATATCCAGGGCTTTAAGGAAGGGGCTCCAGGCAGCCTTGTGCCCAAACCAGGCTGCTCCCCCCAACTCTTCCCGGGCCCCCACAGCCCAGCCCTGGCCCTCCTGCCTCCTGCCCAGTGAACAGCTGGTGGGTCTCTGCAGCCTGTCTCCTGGCTGCCCCCTGACTGTGGGGAGTGGGTGATGCCCTCCCTTTCCAGTCAGTTCCTGAAGTGCCCGCGGGGCCCCTGCAGCCCTGGGCTCTGCTCACAGGCTTTCCCAGCCCTGGCTGTGTGGAGGTGAGCGCTGGGAGAAGCAGAGGGTGCTGTCCTCACCCATCCTCCACCCACTGAGCCGGCCCTGAAATCACCAGTCCCCGTGTCACCTCCTCCCCAACTCTGCAAGGCTCCATCTGAGCTCGTCCCACACTGGGGCTGCCTGGACAGGGCGCCTGCTCCCAGCCCTGGCTCTGGCCCCACATCTAGGGGAGTCAGGGCCCACTCCCGGAGCTTGCCCTGAGCCAGAGGATCAAGGCAAATCCTGGCCCATGGGGAGGGGATTCACATACCCCAGGGATTTTTGCACATCCCTCCGAGCACTAGCTGCTCAGCGTGGCTGGGATCGTATAGGCCTGACTGACCACAGGAGCCAGGAGGCTCTGACCTCGACCAGCAGTCCCAGAATTCCTGGATCCCAGAACGGGGAAGGCTGGGTGAGCATGTGCACCACCTGCCATTCATTTGCCACCTTAGTCCAGTTGTTGAAGACACTATTGCCTCTCAAACTGCAATGGCCACGAATGCCCTGGGCTCCCGTTGAAGTGCAGGTTGTGGTGCCATGGATCTGGGGTGGGGCCTGAGGGTCTGCACTGCCAGTCAGCTCCCCAGTGATATCGATCCTGCTGGTTCAAGAACCATGCTCGGAGTAGTGGGGGTTGAGAGCTCTTCAGCTTCCAGAGAGACAAATTCGGTAGATCTATTGCCCATAGCCAATGCTTTAGGCAAAAACTGGATGATGCAACTCTGAAACCAGACTGCAGCAGCCCCGAGGGTCCTGTGGGAGGGCCCTGAGCAAAGTCTTCACTGAGGAGAGAGTTCAGGGCCTCAGGGACACACACGAGGGGGCTGGGAATCCAGGCTGCAGCGCTGTCCTTGGAGTGCCCAAGCCTGTGCCCACTCTCAGGCTCTCGGGTTCCAGGCTCAGCACAGCCACAGCTCAGTGTCCTTGGGTGACAAGGTGCCTCTGCCCTCATGTGGAAGTGTCTGCCGTGGGAGTGAGAGGTGACACTTCAAAAGGAAGAAGGGCGGCATAAATAGCACTTACCACATGCTTTTCCTGTGCCAGGGTCTTTAATGCTCACGGCAACCCTCGGACCTGAGTGTTAGACCTCTCATTACCGTCTCACCGGTGGGGAGCCTGGAGCCCCCAGAGAG